TTTTTTATCATGTTTTAATACTTGTTAAATGTATTTATTTTCAAAATTGGAACTCAGTTTCAATATGAATTTTCACATATATAATAGAGACATCTACTGTGCAAATCATGCCAATCACAACTAAAATGTCATCGAGTTGCAATATGTTGTGCTAAATCCAAATCCAGATTGGATTCGGATTTAGCTGATGTGAACACGGCAATCGATGTGTTGGTGCAGGTGTGGAGGAGTGCAACAGGCGACTGATACGATGTGCCATCCACCTGCGCGAGTACAATGACGCGCTGCTGATCAACGACACACTGCTGATGGAGGACGCGCTGTGTTCTCTGAAGGACTTCTACAGAGAGACCACCATCATCGACGACACCGACCGTTTCCTGGTGAATCTTTTCCAAGGTGTGGGCGCTTATTTGTCTGGTAATCGGAAAGTGGTTGCCTGTGTACTTTCTCCACAGACGACGGAGATTATCTGTTCAGATATTTGGAACTCACCAGGTGATCAGACCAGGTTGCACCTTGCTGCACTAATGCAGATTCCAGATTTGATCGAGATTGCACATTTTAACATTGAACATGTTCAGATGTTTAAAGCTCAAATGTGATCAGATAACAATGCAAATGACAAATTTCTTATCCGAGTGCTTAATCCAGATTTGAAATGGACTGCATATGTCGTCACAAATACCACTTTTACAATTTGACTTTAAATTTCAATTCAAAGATTTCGATGTTTCGACCTCAAATGTCTTCAGATCAGAATCCAAATCTGAAATGCTGAATCCAGATTTGATCCAGATTGTACATGAATTAAAATTTAAGATGGAATATTTGATTGAACATATTTCGTCATTTATGACTAATGAGCCCATTCGATCTGGTTGCAATTTGTTGCTGAATCCAGAGTTGATCCAGATTGCACACAAAGAAAAAAGTCAGATGTTCAGATATTTTTTTACTCAAAATGAAAATGTCTCGATATTTATTACTCAAGTATCATGAAGAACAGATTATTAGTACTAATTCAGAATCCAGACGTGGTCCAGATTGCGCGCGAATTAAACCTCTGAACTATCAGATCTTGTCCAAGGTGGGACTGGAATTCAGTGGAAATCACAAAGTTGATCACCCGTCGCTCACCTGCAGATAACCAAGCCAAACTGACGACGTTGGCGCGCGACCTGCGTTTCACAAACCCCAAGATGGAGCAGCTGGAGAGCACCCTGCGGAGGCACTTCTCTCCCAGCGTAGAGTCCAGAGGAATCGTCTTCAGCAAGACCCGCAAGAGCACGTCCTGCCTGCACCAGTGGGTGCTCGCCAACGACAGCCTGCGCTCAGCCGGCATCAAGTCCGCCATCATAACCGGCAGCGCCGGCATGACACAGGTGCGCTCGCTGACTGACATCGACCGACAAAAGTGGAAGTGCACAAATTAGAGTTGGCGATCAACCTGACGTGCGGTTTCAAATAACATCAAAGACGATTTAGCCTTCAACAAATTCAACGCAGGTTTTACTCAACGCCATCGTATCAATCGCCGCTTTTCCCGCAGCAAGATCGCGACAAAACCATCCGGAACTTCCGCCTGGGCTCCGTCAATCTCCTGATTGCCACCAGCGTGGCCGAAGAGGGCCTGGACATCCACCAGTGCAACCTGGTGGTGCGTTACGGCCTGCTGACCAACGAGATTGCCCAGCAGCAGGCTAGCGGTCGCGCCCGCGCCCAAGACAGCCACTACTCTCTCGTGGCAGAGCGCGGCAGCCGCGAGGAGCGACGCGAGCACCTCAACACTTACCTGGCGGGCCTCACCGCCAAAGCCGTCGACAAGATCCACCAGATGAGCCCGAGAGAGTTCAGAGCAAACGTGAGTGACCCTCT